TATATATATATATATATATATATATATATATATATTTCATTTTTTTCTATTTGATTGGGACATTTCAATCAATGCCCCATAAATGATCCAATATGACAGTGTTTAGCCATCCATCATGCTCATCTAACAGTCTAGAGTACTCATACATGTATTTAATGGCTGAAATTGAGATTCAACGGTCGATTCTATGTACAAATCACATCCAACAGCTCATAACTGGTGTCCTAACACTAACAGCGATAGAATGATAAACATTGGATAGGGGTAAGTTAGATCTGCAATGCATCGGATCATTTCTTAGCCCTTTCATGTAAGATGCCACATCGGCTCAGCATTTCAACAAACTTTGAGCAGTTGGGAGAAACCAGAATTTGACATTTCTCCCAATACTTCATACATATAAATCCAAGCATTTTTATTTTTAAAAATTTATTTAATAAACATTAAAATTAAACAGTGGATTCATGCTCAATAAACTCCAATGCTTAATGGCGGCTTTAATGAAAATTAGTGAGAGGGATTTTATATGAGAATGCAGAGGGCAGCGAAGAGGAAACATTTATTAGAGGCTGGAAGTGGGCAAGAATCATTATTGAACTTTATTTGGCTTTGTTCACATTAGACGGTAATGTGACGACAAGTATTGGGGGTCTTCAAAAGTTGCATGGGAGGCTTGTCAAACAGGGTTCAGATGCTTACAAAGTCTTATATTTGGTTTTATGGTTCGGAGCAAATTGGGCCGGTCTACCTAATGCTTCGACCAATCGAAAATATGGGCAAAAACTACCAAAAAAATCGAATATATGAACACAATGGAATTGAAAACCATCAAATTTACAACCTAGAAAGAAATGAGTTAAAGGGGTCACAACTCACAAGATATAACAATGGATATGACACTTAAAATATAAACAGAATAGCGAAAACAAGTTTTATGTAGCCCAACCCATATGGATGGGATAAGTTTTATGTGCATAAGGGTGCTTGTCATTTCAAAACATCAATTTTGATCTATTTAGGGTTGAAACTTGCATTGAATTGGTCCTAATCCAACCGAAAACTCAGGTTAGATTAAAGTTAGGGTTGAGAAATATGAAACCAAATTAACTTCAGACTGGATTAGGGTTGGGGCTTGTGCAATCCAACTCAACTTGATCTATATTTATATATGTATGGACATACCGGAAAGATATTATATCGGATAAACTTACAGTCAATCAACCAGTATTAATATTCATCAAATTCATAAGGTGGTTTGATTGGTCAAATCTTTTCTCATACCATATCTTTCCGGTATCATAGATTTTAAGTTTTTGCAACATGAAAAAATTTCTAACATATCATAACTAATGTACTCCCACTTTGAGTCTAATAAGAGGTCGGGTCGGGACACATCAAAGAATGAGGAACCCCCAAGTATGTTGTATAGAGATGCAGATGATACCAGTGTTTGTGACCTACTGTTGATCCACTCGGTCAAACCATTTAAGTTGTCACTTGGTGTGAGAATGTTGATTCGGTTTTATTTCAAATCCAGAATTTTGTAAAATGCCAATGACTTTGGTCAAAAAACTGTCGATCCAAACAACCAACTGATGGACCATTCAAACCATACATGGATGATGAATCACGGTTCAGATAAATTAAATAAGTATTAAATATTTAAATAATCATAATAATATTTTATAATATAAAAAGAAATTAAAAAAAAAAACAAAGACAAGGAGAGAAGAGAGAAATAGAACTTACCGATGAACAGCAACATCAATAGCCGTGGTAACAACGTACAATAACGGCAATAACTCACCCCTCTTTCTTGGTTTCTTTTTCTTTTTCTTTTATCTTATAAAATATTTTCTTTAACTCAAACCAATGTTCCCTTCTAAAGGCCATATATTAATTTAATTAGCTCTAGTTGACCAGTTCAACCTGAACCGTCAAACCTGTGAACCACCATATTCAAACAAAAAACCAGGTTGACCTCTAGTTTGGATTTTAAAAACATTGGACAATACAATAAGGTTGAGTTTTATTGCAGTCATTTGCACTAGTATAATTGCATGGTAATGCAAATGGACTGAGTATAAATTTTAATTTGCTCTTGCTTTCATATTTGACCTTGACATGTTTGTTTCTAAAAAAGTAAAATGGGAAGCAACTCGATCACCGTATATCTAAGAGAATAGAGATAGAAGTAGGATTATTTGCTTGGGAATGAGGTAAGAAAGAAAGGAAGAAAGTTCAAAGTTTGCATCAGTTATTAAGATGCACAAACAAAAGCGAGCTCATCAAAATTCAAGCTCAAAACCTTGATATACCAATACCAAGTTGGTAACTTTGAAAGTCTCAAATCTGAGTGGGTTTCTGATTTTTCCTTTTATTATTATTATTATTATTTTTATACGCATTGGTCTCTCGACCAAATTTGCAGGTTGGTATACGTAGCAATTAATTCATAAAATACCGAAACCCAGATCTTAGTTATATCCAAAAGGATTCTTCTTTCATGAATTGTTCAATTGGTTTTGCTCAAGTAAGGTGGCCCTGTTTGTTGGAATCTTTGCGGAAAGAAGCCGTAGTTGGAGTACTGGATGTCACTATTTAAGACTGAGAACTCAGAAGGTGTGGAGGATATTCTAGGCCATTGGAGATGTCGCCTTTTCCTACACCTTCATCCCGTCCTTGTTGAGATACAGGCACAAGCCAATCTTCTAGCGTATCGATTTTCTTAGAAGAAATAGAAAATTGGTGCAGAATAGATCTGTATTTTTTTTTTTTGGGTAAAAGCTTATAAGATCAGTAAAATCATAGATTTCTGAACCAGAAAAATATCTTAAAAGTCACTAGAATCTTTGTAGTTTGTAGGACCACTGGACCAGTAATTAAGGAGTGGGTAAATCGGAAGTCTGTGAAATCGAATAGAAGAAAAGAAAAGCTAAATTAACTAAATAACTATTGGAGATTCAACAGTTGGGAGATTTGTAGAAACCTTAATTCAATTTGTTTTCCAAATTTGAAGAAAAATGAACGATAAATTTTTTTTTTTCCTATTAACAGATATTGACGATTTGTGTGATAATTTTAAGTAATTTTTTAAACGGTAATGTAAGTTTCACAGTGTATTTACTTCAAACATACGTGTAATTTAAGTATTTTACTCTATTTTGACTTTTAAATCCAATTAATTACTGGCACAGGGTCACAGGCAGCCTTTACAGTGACGAAATTCTCTAAAAGAAAATGACGAAAGAAACCCCCAATGATCATTTTTTTTATAGATTCCGTGTCCATTAACCATTTAACCTGGACGGCTTTTTCTTTATGTAGCGTTTCAACTAAAAAGGGTAGTTCTGACTTTTTTGACGGATAGACTACAGGTATCTTTAATCCCCCCGTCCCACCCTCTTATTTAAAGGGCCTTGCGTTTTCCTGAAGTTTTGGCGATTACAGAGGAAGAGGAAGGCAGACATCGAGCAGAGATGGGCATCGCATGCCAGGTGAGCTTGTCAAGCTTCGCCCGCCCTCCGGCACAAACTAGTGACTATCTGATTAAATATCTTGTTCTTTTTTATGCTATACTAATTACTCCTCTTCGCGCTTTGTTGTTTTTTCTTCTGGGTTATCTGATGGGCTATAAAATCAATTCGATAGATTGTGAAGTTGGCTAGATATCATTCGATTATTTGATAAAACTATCTTTTACTCGGAAGTTTCATTTCAATTACGTTTCCCCTTTATTTTTCCTGTTGTTGCGGTATCCAATTGTGCCCCATAAATCACATTAGCTCTTTTAGTTTTTATACAATTATCTTGTGTGATGTTTATTTTTTCCAATACAATTCATTTTATATTCATCTGCAGAAACCGTTTTGAAAATTTTGGAATCCACTTTGACTCATTTGATTCACGTGGTTTTGCTTGAACTCGTATGGTTTCATCGGTTTTTCTGGTTTGGCGAAATTTGTTAACGTGGTTCTTGGAATTGAGTACCTTTTGTTGGAGATGAATGAAGAATTGTACTGTAATTCAAAAAAATAGAAATTAAACGTGAAAATAATGAAAAGAGAGGGGAAGCTTCTTCCAGTGGTGGTGATGGTAGTAAAACCATGCTGAATGCTGGAAGGCGTATCACATTGGATTGGTAATATTTGATGGTTTTAACATTCTATTTTGAATAGCTAATTGTAAAGACATCATTCAAATATTAACCATGCAATCCCAGCGTGGACAGAGAAAAAATATATTTTATTTGTTCCTTGGTGAATGAAGCAAAATAACAATTGATCTGAAGTTGTGTTCTCAATACATGAAACATCAAACTGGATCTCTATCCTTAGCCCTCCCTGTTTTATATGTATATAATTATGTAAACACTATACATATATACATTTTTTTTGTGTGTGTGTGTGCATGCACGCATGTATTGAAAAGGAATGTTCTATATAAGCTAGTATAAATCAGTCACTATTTACAAAATACTTGCCTCTTTTGATAGATTAAAGCTTATGCTAGAGGCTGGAGTATGAATTCTTTGAGTTTTAAATTTTAATCCATGTAGACTAGGCTCTTCTCCTTATGTACATGTAGTTACACATTAACTTTAAGGAAATAAAAATGGAAAAAAGAAAAGAAGACATAAATTGTTGCATGTATGTCAACATTCTGTAATATTTTGAAGCACTTGTCATAAAGAGGAAATCTTCTGTCCTTGTTACCTGCCTTATAAGGTAAATATGCAAATAACGGAATAACAAGTATCTTCTGATCTGCATTTGTTGTTGGTATGTATGCACATGCATTTAAATCAAGTCAAATGCAAAGTAGGCTGATGTTGGGAGGCCAACTATAAGTGGAGCCCTTTTTTTTATGAATTATAAGCGGAGGCCTTTCAAGGTTATCTTTTGCCTTTTTTTTTTTTTAATTATTTGATATATTTCATTAAACTGAGAACATAGACGACTATGGATTAGTGTTGGCTTTAGAGCAGTAATCCAAAAGAGGAAGTTCAACTATACTAAAATTTCCTAGATTGATGGTACTATCACCCAAAACAGAAAGCAGAAAACAGAGAAGGAAAAATGTGGTAGAGAATAAGGTGGTTAAGTGAAAAAATTACTATCCAATCCTGACCTTCAGATTGGAATCTCACAAATTAAAGTGAGAGTTGATAGTGACTTGGCATCATAGAAGATGGGTCTCACTCAAAGAGCAATAAGTATTGCAAAGAGAAAAATGATTCTTCGTTTAAAATTGAAATGAAGGAGGATATGCCTTTCAGAGACCTGACTGGGATCCTCTTATTGGAAAGACTTTATAAAACAACTAATGCAGATAAATGACATATAAAACATCTACTTCATGCTAACTCTTATCTCTGTCATTTCTTATTAAAGACATGAAATCTTGTAAGGAGTTGATGGTGTCTCACTATCATAGGAGAAGGGTGTACTCAAAAGAGCAAATAATGTTGCAAAGGTAAAAATTTTATTCTTTATTGAAAATGGAAATTAGTGAAATGAAATTTGTCGATGTGGCTACGTATCCTTTGGGGAAGATTTCACTAACCTTTTAAGCTAGATAAAGGAAATCCTAAAATCAAAAGAAACTGCAAAACATCTTGGGAATCTAGCTCCATGCCAACAGTTAACTATTTCTCCTGCCTTGAGACATGGAGTCTTATAGGTATGGGCGCAAACATGTTGATCTAAAGGCCCAAATCTCCATCCAATTGGTGCATGAAATTATGAATAAAGGTTCCTTTTTGCCTTCCTGCTTGTCTGCATAATGCAGGCTTGGTGATACAAGACCAAGATGTTCTTTTCCTTTTCTAAGACAGAAACTCAGGTAATGCTGATGATGGGTTGATGATACTGTGTTGTAGTGCATTTATATACCATGAGAAAGGGTTATATTACATGGGAGGTCCATTAGGCAAAGATCAGTGTTCCATTCTACTTATTAAAACTGACTTCCTTTAAGACAGCTTTTTTGTTGGAACCATGATCAAGGATCAGACCTTTTTCTATCTCTGTAATTACACATACGGATATCCATATTCTCATAACATTAGAATCTTAGCTGAAGCCCAGGATTTTCTTGAATCAAACTATATTCCTTCTTAAAAGTAAATGCAGAAAAAATATGCTTATTTGGATTTCTTTTCCCTGTCTGTTGCCCACAGGATGGTAGGGAGGAAGTCATCCAAGCATGGTACATGGATGATAGTAATGAAGACCAGAGACTCCCCCATCACAAGGATCCTAAGGAATTTGTGTCCTTGGACCAACTTGCTGGTATATACATGGACAAAGCAGTTTATTATTGCATTACCTCACTTAGTAGATGAAGGTTTGAATCAACCTGCTGAGAAGTTATGCTGACTTTGCAGAACTAGGTGTACTGAGTTGGCGTTTGGATGCTGACAACTATGAAACTGATGAGGATTTGAAGAAGATTCGTGAGTCACGTGGATATTCCTACATGGTTTGTCATATATATCATATGTTTTTCTTCAGCTTAAATTTTTTGTTGCATGAATGTTGCAGAGATTTACATTTCTTATACCAATTATACAGTACAGCAACAGAAAGTATGTAGATAATATGCTCTTGCTTTTGTTGTTTTTCTAAATGACAGGACTTCTGCGAGGTCTGCCCGGAAAAGCTGCCAAATTATGAGGAGAAGATAAAAAGCTTTTTTGAGGAACATCTCCACACCGATGAGGAAATCCGCTACTGTGTGGCAGGAAGTGGTATAAATTGTTTAAACTTTGGTTCTGCATCTACAACACCCCCCATGACATCCAATTCATTCCTTATAACTTTGTGGTGAAGGTTATTTTGATGTAAGGGACAGAAATGACCAGTGGATTCGTGTATGGGTGAAGAAAGGAGGAATGATTGTCTTACCTGCTGGAATTTACCACCGTTTTACATTGGATAGTAACAATTACATCAAGGTACTGAAATTTTCTGTTCTTTGTTTTCCTCTACTACCACAATTAATGCTTGCCTGCAGATGAGTATAGCTTGTATGACCTGATAAACTGGAATGCTGGATGTCATTTTTCTAAAGAATCAGAAGTAGACAGCATTGGTGGAGATTTGTCTGCTTGATTAGATAACTCTTGAGCATGAAATGTTGAAAACCTCATATTATAGGTTGAATTTTCCAAGAGAAGTAGATAAACAAGTCTGACATAACTGTGGTCTCATTCACATTATCCAGATCAGTGTTTTAAAAGGCATGGGAAGTGCTCCCAAAACGCCCTGAGGCATATGCCAGAGGCGCTGACACCTTAGAGGCATACGCCTCATGTGCTTTCATGAGGCATGTTAGAGGCGTACGTCTCATGTGCCTCATGCACACCTTATATAAAAAGACTGAAAAAAAATGAAAAAAGAAAAGAAGGAAAGGAAAAGAAAAGAAAGGGAAGGGAAAGAAAAAGAAATCAAGAGAAGAAAAAAAAAAAGAGAGAGAAACGCAAAGGCAAGGGAAGAAAAGGGGAAAGAAAGTGGTCTGCTCCTGTCTCCTTCGGCTGGGGGGCTTTGCCCCCTGAACCCCCCCTC